AAAAAAAACAAAAATTTTTTCGGAGGGCCCAAATGCCCGAGTTTTATGTAACGCTATGGAACTTGCCCGAGTTATCTCGGGTTTTAAAGATTGCAGCATTACTTCTTGCCGCCTGCAGATGGCTGTGATTGGTCATCTATATTCAGCAAACGAAATCAACAACGCAGTTAAGGAGACAAATTCCCTGACTTTTTGACAATTTTCGACAAATTCCCTGACTTTTTGACAATTTTTGACAAATTCCCTGACTTTCCCTGACTTTTTCAAAAAATAATGAAAATCCCTGACTTTCCCTGATTTTCCCTGACTTTCCAGGTGCGTAGGAACCCTGTATATTTTGATATATAGATTAAATAATGGTAAATGTAATATATATATTAGAGTTAAACTGACTGCCATCTGTAAATAGTAAGTTTTGTCATCATTGACATAATTTTTCATTTCCTGAAACACAATAGAAGTACATAATAGTTATTCCTATCAATTATTGCCAATCTAATCAATTCAGAAAAATTACAAAATTCTCAATAACTCAATATAGTTTCACAAAACTACAGAAGACAGACTACAGACTCAGACTAAAAAAAATAGGCTATATTTTTGTACTTTAAGATCTAAACAGGATGTGAAGATTCTTTATAAACAGGATACTGTACTAGGTCAAAAAGAATGTGTACACTAGTGTTGCAACAAATAGTATATTCGGCCTCAAGCCGAATATTGAATATTCGGCCAGGAGCATGGCCAAATAGCCAAATATTCGGCCAAACTATTTGGCTTGATTAACGCATGTACAAAAATTGGCGTGCAAGCCACATTATGGCAAGGACCCTGCTCTCTATTGGCCCACTGTCACTACACTTCGCCAATTGCATTAATTCTTGACAGTTCAGACAAGAGCGTCATGCAATATATGATAAGTGATGATATCAAATGTGGATAACAATGAAATGACCTGCACGTGTAAATAACGGAAGAAGAACAGAGAAGAACCGCAAAGTGAAAATGTGAAAATAAATATGAAATTGAGTTGATAACATAATTGAACAAGTCGAGGCAGCTTATTGGTGTGAAATTTGCTGTTGTGAATGCCAAACAATTGTTGTCATAGACTTCGGAAAGCTAAATGCTTGTAATGAAAGTCACTTAGTGTGCATGGGCGAAAGCCTGGGGTCATTCAGGCTACCAAGCTGTTTCGAATCTGTGAAATCATAATTGTGACATATATCGACGTCCTATCTGTCTCTCTTCTCCGTTATCACCATGCTAGGAGTCACGTAATTATAAAATGGAAAAACTACAATGGAAATGTGACAAATCGAAAGTATCATGAGCACATATTATGATATATGCATAGGCATATGTGGACTAGAGCGATAGAGGAAAGAGAAAGGGAAGAGCAAAGATGAGCGCTTAAAAAGAAGGATAGGCAGGGTCAGACCTCAGATGTGTGACGATTCTCGAACGAATAGGTGTGTACGTATGCTGATCTTTGTAATTATAAATTGTGAATACAAGTGACTAATATTATGTTCTTTTTTATTTTGTGCATGTTATAAATTATAAATAAATATAAACAAACAA